TATAAATACACTCCAGTTTCTATCGCTAGCACAAATGCCATATATAGTATGAAAGAGTTTCAGCTCTCAGCTTTAATGATTTAAGACTTCACGTAGAGAGGGAGAAGCTTTGAAGAAGTGTGAAGGTTTCAGGGTACATCTGAAGACAGGAATGTAATGTTTACTCTACAGACAAACCGCCAAGTCCCAGTGTTCCAACCCATCCTCACAACCACATCGCAACGCAGCTTACCCTAAGAAAGGACTTCCCTGACTTCAGTGGCCAATCCCGTAAACACCACTCAGCACATACCTCTGCAGGCACTTCAGTTTGCTAGAAACAGCCCCAAAGACGAACATATCGGTGTGGAACTGTGAGATCCATCTGCCGGAAAGAATCTGCAGAAGTTTTCCTGTCTCCGAATTTAAAGCCGTCTAGTTTTAGCTCTTTGGGGCTTTGTTTTGCTTTTCCTATATGGTATTTTACTAAATGACATGCTGGAGCAGACTTTTTTCCCATAGTTATAAAAAGAAAGGTGTGGTCTGAATGGAGAACTGGAAGCCAGAAACCCTGAATTCTGATCTGGGCTGTGATACCAATTTCCTGAGTAACTCAGAGAACACACCTTTATTTCACACGTCAGGAAACTAAGGCAAAAAGTTTCAATACACTAAAATACAACTTTCCTATTAACTCCTCAAGCACAACTCTAAGACCGTGTAGCATCTCACACAGTTGCCAGACCCCACCTAGTCCACTACAAAATACCAAATTACTAAATGCTTTCAGAATTTAAGTTTCTATTCTCACCAGAGAAATTAAGCTTTCTTGCCCTTCCTTTTTTCATGTTTCCTGTCTCACAAACTGCCATAATAAGGACAGAACAGCTTCATCTAAACTGCTCACTTCGCCTCTCCAGCAGCTCTTGCAGCTTTGTAGTGTTCTACAAATGAGTAGTTATAAAATAAAGCAGGCACAGAAAAAAACCAACAACCACAAAATCAAAGTAGTAATATTTTTCTTCAAAATGAAATAAAATGTTATTGCTCTTTTTATGCTCATAGTGAGTATCAAAAGCAATGACTCATAGTCAGTATGGAAATACAGGCACTCTAAATGTTGACTTCAAATAATGTTGTGGGACGGGCCCAAGAAAACCTTCGCAGTGGATCCTGACCGGACAGGGAACAGTCTGCAGGCCTCTGGCCGTAAAGGTCTGACCAAGCACCTGCCATCTCCATGACTGACTTCAAGAACCCAAGCTTTAACTTGGTATATTCCTAATCTGTGTAGCTGCAGAAAGGCCTCTTCAACACAGATACCAGCCAAGCCTCATCTCTCTGAGACACAAACATGTTGTGGAGTTCATGCCTCTCCAACCTGCTAACACTATTGATATCAAACCTCCAATAACAGACACAGCATTTTCATATTTATCGTTAACCCATTGCTAATTATTTAAGCAGGTACCTCTCACCTACTCTATTAGAGCTGATTGTCATCATGATTACTGAAGTTACCCACAACATCCATTATCATCAAGAGAAAACACTAACGAGGGAAGAAGAAAATACTCACCACTTTTCCTATGTTCAAATCTCAAACTTTGTTTAAAAAAAAAAAAAAAAGCCTCAACGAACACCCCACTTCACTTTCATTTCTGCACACCTCAAGACGCTGAAGTTTGCACTAAGGACTTCTAAGGACTGTAGGCAACAAAAAACCTATTGCTTTTAATGGCACTTTAATGGTTTAATTTAAAGTTTAAATTAAACTTTAAATGTAAACTTTAAAGTTCACAAGGCTGTCAGCTAGAAAAGAACCTGTATGCATTATTAAAAAGAGAGGGAAAAAACCCTTGGTAAACAGATCAGTAAATATTAAAAGACAGCAAGTAACGTTCTCCTATTTTTGTACAGGAGAGTTTTCATACACTTTTCTGTTCTTCCAAGAAGACACATTCTTCTAGCAAAACAGTGGAAACTTGGGGACGTTAGAAAAGACACAACTCCATGAGATCACTCTAGTCCTGTGGATGGCCCACGGAATTGGTCATGACAAACAAAACCCAAGTGCAGCACCCAAGCAAGCTTATACCTGATAGCTTCACTCTGGTGATGCCTTGGAGTCAGGTCTGTACTGTGTGCTGGAGAATTCAGCCCCAAAAGCTAGAATGGCTTTTGAAAGAGCCAAATACGTTTGCAAGAATGGGCTTGAGGGTGCTGGAACTGATGGGAACAAGGGGATACAAAGGGGTGGCTGCACATGTTGGGGCTTAGCGAGCTCATTAGCTCTACCTCATGAGCTAGAGGCAGCAGCTCCATAAGGCTGGTGGTGAGGAGGATAGGGAAACAACTGATGCTCAGTCATGCCGGTCTTCTCAGGCAGGGCTCTGCCACAGAGCTGTGGGTCACTGGGCATCACCAGGGAGCTGTCATTCCCTCAGCTGAGTTAGACACTATTCCTTACTTGAACATACCACTGGAATTTCCATCTTCTTGCACTGGCACTAGAGGCTGGTCAATTTTGGCAAAGTTTAGTTGAGCGCAGAGAAAACATAGAGCCCTGTTTATGCAAAAGCTGAGAAAACCCCTCCTGCAGCATACCACCGATATGCGTAGCTATAGTTCATTTCCTAAACAACCAAAGCCTGTGCCTCAACTAATTTTAACTGCGTGTAGATTATGCAAAACTATGAATTGAATACAAAAAAGGACTACCAGGATTGAAACACTACAAAACAGACCCAAAACCATTCAAGAACAATGCTATGCATAATAGATGAAAACACTGCTTAGTATAATCATCTTTTTCACTCCAGTCCATCATCCTTGACCATCAAGACTACAGGCAGTAAGCATTGGAAGACATTTGTCACAGGAAAGGAAAACAAAACTTTATCCCATTGGAAGCCTAAACTCCAGATCTTCATTAATTAATTGGGAGATGCCCTTCCAGTCCCAAACAAATGCTCAAAACGCTCTGACTGCACACACATCAGGGCACGTTACTACAACCAAGCAAACGAAAACTCCTCGCTAGATAGACACCAACACCTACGGAAAATCACATTGCTGTCACACAGGCAGCAGAGGCAGTAAATCCCACATGGCTGCTGTCAGGAGAAAGACAAGGAAGGATTACCTCACTGAGTTTACTACAAGCAAGAAAGTTTTGACCCACTACAATTCATTGGGCCAGTTGCTCTCAGTGGGGAACTCGGCGAGTGTCATGAAGTAGCACGCACAGATTTGAGGCATCTGTGTATTTTAATTTTCCCAATTAACCAATACACAAAGAGACGCTCACAAGATGCTTTACAGTTTCTTCCCCAACTTCCCTGGAGCTGAATTGCTCTTAGTATATAGTGGCACTTTTGCAAGAGGGCTTTGTCTAGCCATGCTTTAAGTTAAAATAAGTAAATCTTCTTTGACCAGTGTACTTAGGTGGGTGGAGGAACACTTGGCAAACTCATCTCCCACAATTCTCTTATTTCCTTCTGTACTTGCCACCTCATAACAGGACCCACTAAAACAAAAGTCCTCTCGTAACTCTGTGTTGGTCCAGCAGATCAAATTCCACTCTGTTATCTCAGCAGGTAGATTTATTACCTGTAGAAGACCTTGAGTCATCCAACAGCAGAGTAACAGCAGTAATTCATTCATCTCTACCATGCTTTATGATCTGCTTGTATCACAGTTGCTCTAAAATGGATACCAAGTGGCTGAAGCCACACCTGGACAGGGTGGAACTACTGGAAAAGCCATTACTCCAACCTCATCTGTTTTAAACAAAGAAGCAAAGGCCTTCCAGGAGACAGATTCAGATGTTACCACCAAGCACGTCTATCATCGGTTCTTATGACAGTTCTGCCTGGTCTGGTTCTGCTGAGAAGAGAAGCCTTCCTGTGTCACCTGGTGGTTCACTCAGCCCAGGACAAAAGCTGCTTTTTCCATGCTCTTCAACCCCTGACAGAGCTCCTCAGAGCCAGCACACTGCTGCGGCGTGAGGGACAGCATGCTCCAGGCACCCAATTCCTCTCTAAGCCGATTGAGGCGCAGCTGATTCACCTCCAGCTCCCTATAAAACGCCCAGGACGCAGGCCTGGCAAAATCTGTACGCTGGGAAGTGTGAAACTGCCTTTCTGAAGAAGCTACGCCTGGTGACGCGCTTCCTAACCATAGATCCTTGTGTACGTCACTGCAGCAGGGTGAAGTCTAAGCACAGTCAACAGAGCAGTTCACGCTGTCTCTTCTTCTGTCAGCC